CTTGTGGGCCACCCCCCACATGGCCACCCGCCCGATCTCCTCCCGGCCTCGAGCTGAGCCCCGTCCCTGAGATGTGACGAGCCAAGAGGCGACGACAACCTTAGGGATGCGCCCCCGAGACCTGAGGGAATCCGCAGCATCGGCATCGGGATGAGGCGGTGCCCATCACAGGGATGGGGGTGAGCTCCGTGCTGCTAAGGAAGGGGCCTGCACCCTTCCGGGCCGCTCACCGAGCGCACAGAGCGTGGACCTGCGCATGGGATTCCAACTTCGCCCGTGATCCTTCAGACTCTCTCTCTCTCTCTCTCTCGCCTTCTCCCTCCCCCCTCTTCCTGCCGCCTTCCTTCACCTCCTGCTCCACCGCTCCCGTGCCTCCTCCCTGCCGCTGTGCCTCCACCCCCTGCTTCCCTGCCTGCTGCCGCTCGTCCTCCCCCTCCTGCGCGCCCGAATTCTCACGAACCTTTGCTCTTCCATCAGATCATACAGTCAAACCGCATAGCAAGGATGGGCAACCTTCCCAAGGGTACCCTTGCATCCTTGCCTCCTCGGCCCATCCCTGGACACTTTCGTTGGCCGCGCGCCGCCCGAGAAGCTTCGACGTGGCCTTCCAAGGCCCTGGCATCCTTATCGCGCAACACGTGTGCGGGCAACCAGTGCTGCGGACGCACCGTGTCCTCTGGCCACCGCACGTTTCCGTGCCCGTCGGCGGACGACGTCGTGGCGGCAGGCTGCGAGATCCAGGTGAAGGTGGAGGATTGCCTGAATTAGGCTCGGGCTGGCGCCAACTCACCAGTACAGTAAGGATGCTTCGCGCATCCTTACTATACTGGTTGACTGTACTCTTTCTTTTCCCGCACCCTTGCTCGCCTCCCCCCTGTGCCCCCCCCCCTCCTCCTTCCCCTCCTCCTCCTCCCCCTCCTCCTCCCCCCCTCCTCCCCCTCCTCTTCCTCCTCCTCCTCCTCCTCTTCCTCCTCCTCCTCCTCCTCCTCTTCCTCCTCCTCCTCCTTTTCCTCTTTCTCTTTCTCCTCCTCCTCATCCTCCTCCTCCTCCTCCTCCTCCTCCCTCGCCTGGCCCTGGGAGGCATTTGGAGCCGACCCCCTCCTCCTCCTCCCCTCCCGATGGCCATGGGGGAAGCGGGTCCTGAGGTCAACGGGTCTTGAGGTTTGTCCCCGCTTTTCGGGCTTCCGGGGCCACCTCCACGGACCCCGGGACTGTGAGACAACGGCTCGTGACGAAGACTTCGTCCTGGGGGAAGGCCCCGGTGCCCAGGACCCATTTCCCTCAGGACCCGTTTTCCCCCATGTTCTTTCCCCTCCTCGCTCTTTCACGCAAGCCATGCGTCCGGCACGGCGCGTCAGCACGACAGCCACCTCGGGCCATCGCAAGGGGATGCAGACTTTGCACGTGTGCGGCACAAGGCAAGGGGGGAGGGAGGCGAGGAGGACGGAGGAGGAGGGAGGCGAGGGCGAGGAAAAGGACGGAGAAAGGAAATGCCCAATCGATATACCAGCCACGGAGCGCCGACCGCGCCCGGGTATTTCCCCGCCTTGAGGTAGCAGAAAGGCACCCATTCTTCAAATTCCAGTGGCGATTTTCTTCCGAGCCTGCTCACGACTAGGAGACAGAACCCAGCTGCTGAGTAGCCGGCGGATGAAACATAGCGCAACGGACCATACCAGAGGATACACACAGACTTATACACATATATATATATACACATATAAATACACATACATTCAAGACGGCATTGGCGCTTCGCGCCATGCACCTTGGTCCTTGAGGCTTTGCATATGTCGGTCATTCGCGCCATCCTTAGTGGCCTTGGAAATTTGGCCCCTTCCTTGCGGTGGTTTTCAGAAGTCTTCGAAAGTTCGGGCGGTCCCTGGCCCTTTCTGGGCCTCTGGGGGCTCTCGAAAGGCGCTGGGTGGAGGGCGAAGGATAGGAGGGATGGAATCTCGGAGAGCGAGGAAAGGAAGCGGATGTGGGGGAGGACGAGTGGTGGAGCGGCATCAAGAGGAGAATGAGGATGCGGAGGAGGAGGAGGAGGAGGAGGAGGAGGACGAGGAGGAGGGCGCCGTCGGGGGACGGCGAAGAATGTTGCAGCGGGTTGCAGCGGGTCGCAACGGGGCACGCAATTCTTGGGGAATGCACCCGATCCAGGGTTCGCAACAGACTTCCAGGATTTGTGGATGCGAGCCCGGGATTCGGGTCAGTTTGGTGGAAAGCGCCGTGTGGGCCCTCTGGTGGGCCGGCCGGCTTGGGGCCGTCTCGAGCCGTCTTGGGGCCATCTTGGGCCGTGTTGGGGAGGGGCCATCTAGGGACCTTACGGGGGCTTCGTAGACCCTCCTGTCGGCCTCCCATGGCCTTTTGGGGTGCATCCCATGGCCTTCTTGGGCTTCTCTTTGGGGCCTTGTGAGGGCCTGTCGGGCCTTTTCTTGGCTCATTTGGGGGTTCCTTGGGCAGTCTTGAGGCCGTCTTGGGGCGATACTCGAGGCCTTCTTGTTTTTTTGAACGCTGCTAAGACCCGAACAGCGAATGTGCTGAAAATGCACGCTTCCCCCAGGGAATACTTATGGCGATGTTTGCGTTCAGGGGGCCCTGTTGAGTGCCCCTGTGCCGTCTTGGGGGCATCTGGAGGCCCTCTGGGTCCTTTTTGGGGCATGTTTGTGCTGTCGTGGGTCTTTCTTCGGCCTCTCTGATCACCGCTCCGATCGCTTGGGGGCCTTTTGAAGCCCTGTTGGGCCTCTTTTTGGCTCATGTGGGGTTTCCTTGGGCAGTCTTGGGGCCATCCAGGCCGTCTAGAGGCTCTCTTAGGGGTCTCTTGGACCGTCTGGGGCCGATGCTGGAGGCCTTCTTGGCTGCTGTACACGCTGCCCAGACCCGAACAGCGAATGTGCTGAAAATGCACGCTTCCCCCAGGGAATATGGCGATGTTTGCGTTCAGGGGGCCCTGTTGAGTGCCTCTGGGCCGTCTTGGGGGCATCTGGAGGTCGTCTGTGTCCTTTTTGGAGCGCTCTTGTGCTGTCTTGGGTCTTTCTTCGGCCTCTCTGATCACCGCTATGACCGCTTGGGGCCTGCTGGCAGGACCCGGCTGACAGGGACGAGACGAGGCACCTTTGGCAAGGGTGTCCGGGGGGCCCAGAAGCCCGCGATCCTGGGGGTCCAGTTTTCTTGGGGGGGCGGGGTTTCCCCCTCACACACGGCATGTATACATAAAATAAGAGGAATATGTTTATGCCTCTCTCTCTCTCTTTTTGTTTTTTTCTCTCTCTCTCTCTCTCTCTCTCTTTCTCTTACCTATATAGATGTGGGTGTATATACATACATTTATATATATATATATACATATAGATATATGTGTGTATTTGTGAATGTTATATGTATCGATGTCTATCTGTGTATATCGGTACCAACCAAGCAAAGCCGCAAGGGTGGGAAACAAAAGGCACCCCGACCCCCACATGGCTCCCTCCCCCGAGGAGGGGCGGCCTGGAAGAGGGGGGCGACAAATGGCAGGTGGGGTCGAGGTTTAGTACAGAGTACCCGCCACGGTGGGCAAGCCGTGCTGCCTGGGCCCACCCGCTCCGCTAGGGTGTACAGAGTGGTCAGTGGCACCTCCTGGTCTGAGGTGAGCGTTGCCAGCGACGTTCGCGGAGGCAGCGCTCCCCACCATCCCGCTGCCGCGCACTCCCCTGTGCTGGCCGGGGTCGTGGGGGCCCTCCCCTCCCCCCTAATTCGGTGCAGGTGGCCTGTCCTGGGCACGGCGCGTCGGCGCCCGGTCGCTCGGTCAGCGCCCGCCGGACGAAAAAAAGTTGAGGTTTAGTTGGTGTGTCCTTGTGGCGAGGCGTCCTTGCAATCGGGGGCCGAAGCTGTTCGGCCCAGCCTCAGAGTGTGGAGGGGGTCCAGTCGGGGGTGAGGCTGCGCCTCCTGTGCAGAACCTTCCCAGGCTGGCGGTTCAAGATCTGGAGGTGACCGTGGTCAGCCCTGCTCTGCTGCGCTTCATCGAGGAGGTGAGTCGGATGCCCGAACGGAGCTCTGACCCCAAAGCTTCATTACCGAAGCAACCGCGTGGGCGACCGAAACTCGCACTTGGTGGCCGAAGTGGTCAGTTGCGCTCGATTGCTAAAAGAACGCCCCCAAACACGCCCTCCTTGGATCGGATACACAGATCGTACGCAAGAGCCCATCCCCCTTCCATTCGCCGCTTGCCTCACCTGCCCAGAGGATGGCGATGGCGGATAACGAACTGCTCGAGAGAGGGGTGCGAATGGAGAGGGGTGCGATAATGAAAATGGGGAAGGAGAGGTATGCACACTGAGGGAGGAAAAGGATGGATATATGGAGCGAGAAAGGTAAATGGAGAGAGACGAATGGAAAGTGAGAGAGCAGGAGGAGGCAAGGGCAGCGCGTTTCAGGCAGTAGAAGGGAGAGGGGTGAAGTAAAGGGGGAGGAGGTGGAGAGGCAGGAGTTACAGAGGCGAGGGGAGGGGCGGGGAGCAGAACGTAGAGCGTAGAGGGAAGGGGAGGCGGGGAGGGGGAGGGTGTTGAGAGGGAGAGGGAGGGTGGGACGGGGAGGAAGGGTCGTCCTCCAAGACCTCTCCGGAACCCACACAGCCGGGCTCAACCATTCATTGGTTCAGCACGGGTGTTGATGGTGAGCTTCAGTTCTCCTGGGATCTATTGATTTACAGGTGCCAGCTGGTCACGGAGCGCGCGCACTTGAGATTGTAGTTTTGTGCGCACTCAGTCTCCTTGACCTGCGAAAAACTGACCGAAACCGAAGGTCGCCTCGCTTTCTTCAGGCTAACGGTCGTGCGGGCAACGGTCCCCTAGAGGCGATGAGAATCAGGAGAGGAAGGATCAGGAAGGCAGGCGAGAGGAGCGAAGGTGATGTGCAGGAGGTCGACGAGCAGGAGGGAGGGCGGACGATGGATGAAGGATGACGGAGTTGGAGGAGGAATGAGGAGGATGGGGGAGGAGGATGGGGAGGAGGAGGAGGAGGAGGAGGAGGAGGAGGAGGAGGAGGAGGAGGAGGGAGGAGGAGGAGGAGGAGGAGGAGGAGGAGGAGGAGGAGGAGGAGGAGGAGGAGGAGGAGGAGGAGGAGGAGGAGGAGGAGGAGGAGGAGGAGGAGGAGGAGGAGGAGAGGAGGAGGAGGGAGGAGGAGGAGGTGGAGGAGGAGGAGGAGGAGGAGGCTACACTCGACCAACAAGGTCTTGCAAGACGAATTCGGCCTTGGGGGCCGCCCGGGCAACTAACCCACGCGCCCGCGCGCAGCGAACCGCACGCGGGCACGAGGGTCAGCCGCCAGGGTGGTCCTCCGGGCCCAGGAGGAGGAGGAAAATGAGGAGGAGGTGGAGGAGGAGGAACAGGAGGAGGACTGCGAGGATGATGGGGCGGAGCACGAGGAGGGGAGAAGGACGATCATGGTGAAGAGGAGGGGAAAGGAGGGAGCGGGTTGAGGAGGAGGAGGAGGAGGAGGAGGAGGAGGAGGGCGGAGGCGGAGGAGGAGGAGGACCAGTGCAAACCCAAGACTCCTGATATTAGAGTAGACCCTCCCTCCAATATCCCTTTTCCATATCACTGAGGGGAACGCACCGTTGGAAGAGACCCGTTTGAAAATCCAGAATTGCGTCAGAACGCAATTCCTGGGATTTCAACGCCGCGAAGCACCGTGACTGCTAAGTCTTGACGATTCAGAACTGTACCAGAACACCAATCCTGGGTCTGCAACACCACGAATAAACGTAATTGCTGCGCCCTGACATTCCGACATCGCGCCAAAACGCAGTTTCTGGCAAGTTAACCAGGAGAATCTCTGAAGCTGTTGCGAACTCTGAAGACGAATGTGGGCGGCGCTCAGAGCCACATGTTGGAAAGAAGTCGATTCCCATGCGTGACGCTCTTACAAACTATACAAATTAACCCGGCGCAGCCCCAATAGGGGAACGCTTCCTAAGCGGCGTTGTTTAGAATTGCTTGGCATTGCATTCCTTTGTTTTGTATTGGATTGCATTGCTTGGCAGTGGTTTGCATTTCATGGTGTTGCTTGGTATTGATTGGCAATTCTTGGCATTGCTTGCCACTGCTTGCCATTGCTTTGTATTGCTTGGCTTTGCTTGGCATTGCAAGGCATCGCTGGGCAATGCTTGGCGCTGCTTGGCGTTGCGTGGAATTACTTAGCGTTCCTTTGCTTTGCTTGGCCTTGCTTGGCATTGTTTGGCGTTGCTTGGCATTGCTTGGCATTGCTTGGCGTTGCTTTGCACGGCTTGGCATTGCTTGGCGTTGCTTGGCGCTGCTTGGCATTTCTTGGCAGTGTTTGGCATTGCTTGGCATTGTTTGGTTGCTTGGCATTGCCTGGCATTTCTTCGCACTGCTTGGCATTGCTTGGCGTTGCTTAGCATTGTTCGGCATTGCTTTGCATTGCTAGGAATTGTTTGGCGTTGCTTGGCCTTGCTTGGCATTGCTTGGCGTTGCTTGGCATTGTTTGGCAGTGCTTTGCACTGGTTTGATCTGCTTGGCGTTGCTTGGCGTTGCTTGACGTTACCTCTCGTCGCCTGGAGCTGCTGGGAAACAAGACTAACAACCAGGGCCTGGAACCCGGGGAACCCGAGCGACCTCCGAGGAACGGGTAACGTAAGAATGCGAGGCACCGGGGGTGGGGAACCCGAGGAATCTGGGGAACCCGAAAAACCTCCGGGAAACGGGGGCAACGTGACAATAAGCGGCACCACCAAGTAAGAGCCCCGCAGGCAAGCCCAATTGGGGAACGAACGTGCGCGTCGCTAAGGCGAGAGCCACAATTTGAAATCGGGCCGCTCTCCCTCCGTGAAGCTCGTGTGAGTGCTCAAGACGTGTGCGTGCGCGGCGCTGAGGCGAGCGCCACACTTTGAAAACGGGCCGCCCGCCATCCGTGAAGCGGTTGCAGCTTGCAAGCGTCAGGATCAGAACTGGTGAGGCGGTCTCAAGCGAAGCGCCCGGCCCGCCCTGTCTCAGAGCGCGAATTACCTACCCCGCTTTCGCTTCCAGGCAAAACCAAGTCATACCACGCGCCTCCTCGTCAAGCGGCCTGACCAGTACAGGCCGTAGTTTGGCATCGTTTGGTAGCTCTTGGAAGCGAGGGTGGTCAAAAGCGAGGTAGGTTTGTTTTCCCCCTACTGTCGATCGGCCTCGGGGTGCGGCGAGGAGGAGGCGCGGGCGGGGCGCCGACGATGCCCCGTGGCTTCCTGGCGGGTCATAACTCGGGCGTCTGGTGGCCGTTCGGTCGACTCTCCGGGCACCCCCGGCAAGCACTTGACGAGCGCAGCTGCGGGAACCAACGACGGAGTCCTGCCCCCCTCCCACCACCAGGATCCTCCTCCTCCTCCTCCTCCTCCTCCTGCCTTCTCCTCCTCCTCCTCCTCCGCAGGAGGAGGAGGAGGAGGGAGGAGGAGAAGGAGGAGGAGGCAGAGGAGGAGGGAGGAGGAGGAGGAGGAGGAGGAGGAGGAGGAGGAGGAGGAGGAGGAGGAGTGCCTTCCTGACTTGTTCCTCTCGTGCGGGAGCCCGCTCGGAGGGTTCGTGGTCCAACGGCATGGGCGCGGGCAGGGATCAGGGTAAGTCGGGCCTGTCCCTCTACAGGAGGAATGTTCAAAAATAGTCAACAACATAGTCTGGGGACGATTTGTTTTAACCATTTTTGGCAAATGTCGGGGTACTCTTTGACAATTGCCCATGTTTCGTTCAAAATCCCCCTGTAGGAGGACAGGCCCGACTTAAGACAAGGGCAAGCATGAGGGCAAGGCGCAGGGAAAGGGCACACTCGGGATAGCTGCCAGCGACTGGCCTTACGGGGGGGAAGGAACAGGGATTGTTCGCCCCGGCGCCCGCTCGGACAGAAAACACAAGCAATCAAAGAAAGAAACATTCGTCCCGCGGATGACCTCGAGCAAGAGGCGGAACAACCACGCCTCGACCACGAGCCCATCCGTGCTGGGCCGAGGCGCAGCTGCCGGAACGCGTCCCGAGGCGAGGAAGCCTCCAGGACGCCACGGAAGAGTCCTGCCACCCTCCACCCCGCCCCGAGGACCTCGAGCAAGAAGCGGCTCAACCACTCCTCGACCTCGAGCCCGCTCGTGTCGGGCCTTCGGCGGGAGACGGACTTCCTCCGCAGGGACAGCCTGAGCGGTGGCAGGCCTCCGGCCCGGGGAGGCGGAGGATGGAGAGCGGCGGAGGGCAGCAGGTGCGGCGAGGACGAGGGGGGGGGGGGCGGCGAGAGGGAGGAGGCGGAGCGAGAGGGGGGCGAGAAGGAGGAGGGGGGCGGCGGGGGGAGGAGCAGAAGGGTGAGGAGGGGGGAGTGGAGGAGGGCGAGGAGGATGAGGAGGAGGAGGTTGAGGAGCGGCAAGGTTGACCTGGAGGACGATGAGGAGGAGGAAGAGGAGGAGGAGGAGGAGGAAGAGGAGGAGGAGGAGGAGATATTGCTTTATATTGTCGTTAAAATTGTCGTGTATTGCTTGGTATGGTTTTGTAGCGCAGCGCATTGTGTTGAATTGCTTCGCATTGTGTTGCATTGTGTCGCGATATAGACTACAAGAAACTGTTCTTCGGGTTTCACCCGGCTTGGGACGGCATAGCAATGCAGGGATGCTGTAAAGCCACCGAACGTGTGTTTGGGCTGGATGCGCCGGAAGATCGCAACTCCTGTCTCGCCGGGAGCGGCAGCAACGGAGCAGACGAGCAGCAAGCCATTCAAGCCGGAACAGATCCCGAGACGCACCATCCGCAGCAAGCGCGGTGGAGGATCATGATCGGGGCCATGACATCTGTCATGGCTCCCGTGTGGTGCACGCCTCGAGCCACGATCCGCCCCCGGGGGCGGGGCCCAGAAATGTCTCGTAGCCTTCGGCCTCGGTCAACAAAACCACTCAGGACGAACTGCTCCAGGGAGAACCCTCGGGGTCCACGATCTTTTTGTCCCTCAGGATACATTTCGGGTATAGACAATGTGACACTTCAATCGGGGCTGCCAGCACCAGGCTGCGGCGAACCATGCCAAGCATCTTCTACTCTGCCTCAGATGCGTCCAGTTGCCCGCGGTAGCCCCAGCCACCGTCCGCCATGAAGCGGTGGAGTGGATCATGGAGGTCCTCGAAGGCAGGTTTAGATCCTCTCTGACCCCGGGTCCCTGACCTCCTCTTGCCCGTTTCCCTTCGCCTCCTACCTCTGCCTTGCCTACCAGCTTTCAGTTTCATCCAGAATGGTGCGCGCAGAACAGCCCTAGGATCAGTTGAGGGGTACGGTGAGGATTTGCCACCGCCAAGGTGCGCAGGAGGACCCATAGTAGGACGAGGAGGCTCAGCAGGCGAGGAGGGGAAGTAGAAGGAGGAGTCCCCTGGAGGCCCCAAGGAATCCAAATTCAGACAACTGTTGAAAACCCCGTACCGCGAGGACCGAGGAGGAGCATTAAAAGATATTAAAAGGATGAGGAGGAGGAGGATGAAGAGGAGGAGGAGGAGGAGGAGGAGGAGGAGGAGGAGGCGAAGGAGGTCAGATAGCATGAGGAGCCGCCAGGCTGGCGGCGGTCATGGCGAGCCCTCACGTGGAGGTCGGGCCGGCCTTGTGCCCGATGAGCACTACTGCTCCCTCTTCAGCGAAGCATTGTTCGACGGAGGAGCGTGCTTGGAGTCTTCAGCGCCGCCTGTGCGTTGCCACTAACTCCAGACCTCTGATGCCTGGAGCGAGTCATGACAGCGTGTTTTGCGTCAAGCACTGTTCGGCGGCCAGGGCCGCTGTTTCCGACCCGGGACCGTCCAAGCACAATTCGGGTGAACAGCCTGCCCCAGGGAACTGGTCGAGAGATCTGGGGGCGCCCACTTTGAACAAAAGCACGACGTCGGTGTCCCAGGCCCGCGCCGGGGGAGGGAGGGGCGATGCCGAGCAGGGTGGACGGGGACAAGGAGGGGTATGAGGGAGGAAGGAGGAAGCGCAGGGAAGAGGACGAGGACGATGAGGGGTGGGAGGAGGAGGAGGAGGAGGAGGAGGGGGAGGAGGAGGAGGAGAAGGAAGAGGAAGTGAAGGAAAAGAAGGAAGAGACGAGGACGACGACTTCGCAGCCGTTTTGTGTTTCAGGCTAAACGGCTGAATCTAAAGTTACATAGCGAATCCTGGTTAGTGTTGGGACCTGTCCGTCGTTTTCTCTCTCTCTCTCTCTCGAGGATCGGGGCGCACTGTTTTCTGTTTGCTGTCCGTCGGCCACTGAAGTCGGCAGATCAGTCTGCACGACCTCTTCAACACAGCCGTTCCGGCCACGGCACCCTTCTGCGCGAGCCCCCCTTGGGGCCCGCTGGGCCGCCCGAGGAATCTTATGGCGGCACCTCGACACCCCGTTCCAGGGCCAACGAGGCCCGGGCCCGCAATGAAGGCCATGCTGTTCCTCGTGCTAGTGCGGGGCGGCGCTCTCCTGACCCGTGGCTAGGGAAGGACGGCTGCCCCTGGTGACCAGGGTCCAGCTGCGCCGGCCGCATCCTCTGCTGCAGCAGCAGCAGCTGCTGCTGCTGCTGGACCTGCCCGTGATCGTGGGGGACGTGCCCATGTTCACGACCAAAACCTGTCCTCAGCGGCTGGACAACCAGCTGGTGCCCTGGCAGCATCGCTCACCCGTGGATGCTTGGAGTCGCTGCTGGACAGCTTGATTAGGAGGAGATATGCAAAAGACAGTACCTCTACAGTCACCACGCAATTCGAAAGTAGAGAGGGAAAACTTGGCTTCCATTCTATCAACACCAAAACGGGCATCTTGGTCACACCGGTCACCACCCATCAGGAAGCATCATCCAACACGGCCGTTGCGTTTCAGGTGAAGTCAACGAGCTTCGTTCCAAGCAGGGCATCATGGAGCGCGACCAAGCCACCATGCGTCAAGAAATGGGGGAGATGCGAAACGATCTGTTCGTCCAGGAGCGGTGCATCCCGATCAGGGGCTACGAGGAGCTGGCCAACTGGGACCGCCCCGTTGGCCCGACGCCCCTCTAGTGCAACCGCTTGGCGCTGGCATTGCTGCACGACGTCTAGGCGGAGTTTGCGGAGTGGCCCTTTTCGGCAGGCATCGCAGACAACCAGTGGAAGTTGGTGGGCACCTCCCCAAACAAGCGCTTCGTCCTACAGATGTCTGGTGATACTGGAGCGGCGCAAACAATGTGCTGCGCGGAAGGCATTTCGCAATGCGGAAGGAGCGTGGTGGCAGTTTCAAGCCAACTCGGCGGAAGTTGGACAGGCCAGCAGGTCTCGCAGGCTTGGACAAGTCGCCGAATCAAGTGTGTACAGAGATGCAGACGAATAAGAATGCTCAGCCCTTCAAGGAGGAGATGCCCGATGCCCGCGCAAACATGACCGTGCGAAAAGAGTCGTGCATGTGGGCAGCATCGCGACGGTTCTGTTACAGTCTGGTGATTCAGTGGAGACACATTCGAACGTTCTGTGGAACTGCGCGGCGGTGCGATTGAAGCAGGTGGGCCAGAAGACGTTGCAGGATGTTTTCGGTGCTTGCTTCAACGCGGAGGAGACTTGAACCTAAGTATGATTAGATTTAACAAGCTTCTCTGCGCGCTCGGAAGGAAGCCTACCGCTTGGGCTCGCCTCAGACGATCTTTGTCTGAACCTGGAACGCTCGCATCGTCTTTCGCCACTAGTTGGACACGCGCAAGAGGAAGCGCAAACGGCTAAATAACTTTTGTGTTGGACAACTGGCAGTAGCGCTGCAGGAAGTCAGTGGAAACGCGGAGGAGCTGCGACATCAATTCTACACTTGCCAGATCGGCTTCTGAGTGACGTGCTCACGACTCGCGATGCTGGCGGCGTTGCAGTAGTCTCCTATTTGCGCAAGGCGAGCTCGACGAAGGCATGGCAAACGAGTGGATCCGATAGTCCGAGCTGGTACCTGGTCGAGCACACAGGCTGGCCACCAAGGCCAGAGCAAATGCGGGTCGGGATGGCGCGAGGGTTGTGTTCGATAGAATCCATGAACGCGGTTTCACGCTAGTGCAGTTGCGTCTGGTAACCAATCGCGTTGATGCGGAGGCAAGAGTTGCTGAAGAGCGACATGGCAACGCGACTGCCATCTGGATGGGAGATGTCGGAGATAGAGAGCTAGCGTCGATGCATCTTCATGCCCTGAGATTGACATGGGATTCGCCGTGGAACCCTGACGGGGAGCATGTCGGCGCGTGGACAATATCGCTCGCGACCGTGGCTGAACTTGACCCAAAGAGACCAACGCATGATGTTGCAGCTGACCATTCGCTAACGCAAGTGAACCGTATCTTTATAGTTGGTTCGCAGTGGGAGCTAATGCAGATGAACATGGCTGCCGCACTCTCTCAGAAGCCTGAGAAGCTTTTCGGCGCGGGCATTCCCGACCACTCGCCGCTGCAGATTTCGTTCGGAGTACGTCCTCGGAGCCCCCATGCAGGATCAACCGCTTCCCCGCTCCGTCTGTCAGTCGCAGGAGCTTAGAGAGGCCCTCGACCTTCCGATGGAGCATCCGTGTCTCCCCCATGACCTGTGACCACCGCCTGTTCTGAAATTTAAAGAGCTAAAGCGGTTGATGCGTGCAGCGGCGAGGATCGCCAGGATTCAGGCGACTCGGTCCCCCACTCCTCCCCTTGAGGCCCTTCTATTCGCCTTTCGGTCGATCTTGAGGGCAGTGCACTTCAATGATGCGCGATTCCCCAGGGTTCTTTTGGCCATGTCGTGCTTTGCGGTGGAGGTACCCCAAGTCGCCGAACACTCAGTGCCGTCTTTTTTCCTTGGTTAGTCCAATCGATGTTCGCAGTAAGTATGAATAGTTGCATCGTCATGTGTTGGGGGCCCGTTTGTGAGGGCCCGGCCCAAGAAGAGGCCGAAGCGGATTCGACACCCTGGCCTGAGCGTATAAGAGGCTGAGAAGCGGTGTCGGGGAAAGCTCTGGGCTCCCAGAGGCCAGTCCCCTCTTCCCCAGGCGTTGGTCGACCTCTCGGGCATTCTTCTGGCTTCCCCCTCGGACACGACTGGAACCTTGACAGAGCACTGGGCCCCCGTTCACTTGCCAAAAAAAGGTCCGTTCAGCCACCTCCAGAAACATTCGAAGCAGCATGCTAAACCGTTCGATTGGACGTCTGTCTCTCCCCCGACGGAAGGTCATATTGAAGCCACCATCAGGCGAGAGCCCCCAGCAATTCCAGGAACCGGTGAATCCCATGCGCCGCCTGGAAGCAATCTAACTTGGGGTGCTTCCAGAGGCTCCAGGGAACCAGCCCCCCCCCTCTTCCTCATCCTCATCCTCCTCGTCCTCCTCCTCCTCGTCCTCCTCCTTCTCCTCTGTTCTCCTCTTCCTCCTTGTCGGCTTTGACATCGCTCCCCCTCTCATTTACATGCTTTTCTCCATGGTTCTAGAGCTTGTAGGCCTCCCAAAATGATACCGCAACGTCACTGCTGCCACTCATTAGCTGGCAGCGGTTTCGGGTCCCCTTCAGGTTTTTGACCCATATCCTGAGATGGGGATCTTGTTATCATTCATACCGCGCAGACCACTCCTCACCCTCACCACCTCCCTCCTCCTCTTCCATTTCGTATCCAGACTCACACTTGGGCCCACGCGCACTGATATGTTTCAGATTCACCCATGCACACTCATACTCAGACTCATCCGTAGCAAAACGCACTCACGCTCAGACTCATTCGCGCCCTGGCGGATTCACACTCATATGCACTCAGGCTCATTCATCATTCAGATCCGTTCACATTCACGGATTCTGGGGACGTCTCAGGCGGTTTGCTTGTTTGGTTGCTCAACACCTTTCGCTGTCGGAGCGGTTCGGCAGGATGTCTCAGGCGAGGCACTGGTCTCCGCACTCCCGGGGGGGGGCGGCTGGAGGGTATCTCGCGGCCCCCTTCGCGCCCAGATTGTGATCGTGGGGGTGCATGTGGCGGCTTGCTCGTTTCGGGCCGTAACATCCGACACCCGTTGTTCTCGGCTAAGATTTGGGCGATGTCTCAGGCGGGGCGCTGGTTTCAGCACTCGCGGCCCCGGCCCCGTTCGCGCCCAGATTGTGGGCATGTCTCAGGCGGCGTGCGTCTTTTGGATTGTCACATGCTTTGCTCTCGGAGCAGGTTTGGAGGATGTCCTAGGCGAGCCGCTGGCCTCAGGATCTTGGGGTAGTTGACAGGGGGTATGATGTGGTTCGAACATCAAGCCTCAGGAACTAGGATTCAGGATGTTTGGAGGGCTCCGCGGTCTAACTCGGCGCTGCGGCTGGACGCGGTCGGAAGAGTGGTGCGTCTGGATCCCGGGAAGAGTTCAGGGATTGACTTTGACGTGTTTTCGACGGATTGTGTATTTTCGGTCATCTGAGGCTGTATCACAGCTCCTGAGCCTGGATGCCGTTCTCTAGCCCTGGGGATGTCAGGAGTCGGTTCCACAATTTCGGGAGGCCCGTTTTTGGCCCCGGCGACGTCAGGAGTCGCCTCCAGATGAGGAGGAGGAGGAGGAGGAGGAGGAGGAGGAGGAGGAGGAGGGAAGGAGGAGGAGGAGGAGGAGGAGGAGGAAGAGGAGGAGGAGGGGGAGGAGCA